CAGTCTTAATTTTTTTTTTTTTTTTTTTTTAACTTTCGCTTAGTTTTTTTGTGTGATTATTGTTTTACTGTTGTTAAAAAAAGCCTAACCAGGGACTGGGGCTGCAAATTAGCCTTTGGCTAGAAGCCTATATGTGGAGCATCGGCTGCTTGAAATTGTAGCAATGTTATACTGCATTGTCCCTGTTAAATAAACTAGTAAATAAATAAAAATATATTAAAACAGCCAAAACCTCAACATAATTACTAAAACTTTAACTAAAATGAAAATGAAAACAGAAAATATAAAAAGAAAATGTAATTCAAATCAAAAACTAGTATATCAATAATACTATAATAACACAACTAAAGAACTCTCGTCAGTTAGATGCTAATATATTTATCATTATAGTTATTGTTATTTTGAACAGGCCACACCAATAATAATCAATAACAAAAAGTATAACTGCAAGGTTTTAAAAAATTGCTCTAACTCAAAGAGAATAGCTAAGTCCATAAGACAACTATGATGACACAGAGGAAAGATATCGTTGGAATCACTTCCAGAGTTATTTTTGTCCAGCTGGTGAACCATAAAAACAAAATTCACCCTACAGAGCTCATTAATGCAAATTGCAAGATAAACTTGTACACTCTCACATAAAAAAAAAAAAAACACATTTTTTTTTTCTGTAACGTTTTTTCTTCTGTAACTTTTATGTCTGAGGGGTTTTTTTTTTTTAAACAAACAAACTTTTTTTATCTTTTACTTTTTTAAATATTATACCATGATGTAATGTGAATTGTAATAGATTTATTTGCCTATTAATCTGTCAATGTTCAAAGCATTCCTCTTTTTATGTATTATTATTATTATTATTATTATTATTTTTAATAGCATAACAACATTGACCACTGAAATTTGGGGGAGGGGCAGCTTGTTTTCTGACCAGTGGCAGATGGGGAAACTTAAACTGCTTATAAGTTATTTCAGTAATTTTGTTGCCACATTCAACTTATAACTGTGCCTTTCCAAGAAAAAAAGAAAGACTGTAATATGAAAAGCCACATACTAAAGAACAGAGATTTCTTTTTTGAATATATTTATTAAGAGATACAAGCTCTGGATCATGAAACACATAGTACAGTAGAGCATAAAGAGTGTTATGACTTGCATTGGTTTTCTTATGGTCTGCTGTCCTGGTCATTGATTTTATTAGTAGTTCTTCACGCATTAATGTATCAGCACTGTCTCCTAAATTCCCTGAAAGAGCTACAAAAGATGATAGCTCATCGCTAACATTCAGTATTGGTGCTTGCTGTTTTTTCTCTGGGAACAGTATCAGTTTTGGATCAGTCAGGATGGCACATCTCTGGAGACTGAAGTTCGGTTTAATTTTGCTTGCTGGCTGTTTGCTGTAATGCTTTGACTTCTTCTTTTCTAAACTGCTTCCGCAGAAGCACAATAACAGCAATGATGAATAAATAGGAACATCCACTTAAACATGTGGTCAGGCTCAAGAAGATCACTCTGAAAACAGGACACCAAGAGATCCATGCTTTACATACAATCCAAATTGTTTTTCAAATGTGAGCTAAACTTTGGAAGTGATTGAATCAGATATTTTATAACAGAAAATATATTTGTATGGGTACTTAAAGACTTTATACTATAATCCCCCCCCCCCCCATTTTTGTATTCTAATAAAGACAATAGTGTGTAATTACAAGCAAACATACACACCTGTACATATTTGAGTCGTACATACGACAGGCTCCTCTGTGCCCGCAGCCCTTTACTCCCCATTTTAAACACGTTGAGTCAATGAGAGCTCCAAAATATACAGGAGCAGGAATACCACCTCCAGAAAAATATTAGACAATAATTCAGTTTATTCAAAACATAATATACACTAAATTATTATAGCTTATGAATTATTGTTTACTATATTGCTTTTACCTAGTGTTCGCATCACAAGAGTTTGAATACCCAACGCCAGCGACTTAAGCTCAGGTGTAATGCATCTAAAAACATATGTAATATATAGTAAATACTTTTCATCTTTCATCCTTTAAATCTGAAAATGCATCTGAAAGCAAGTAGTTTCTGTGTTCTGTGTGAAATTACAACTAAATAGGTAAATTATTATTAAATATTTAATTTGATAAAATATAAGGTTATACTTTATTTTGATGATGCCCTTTAGAAATTCTGTTGACAAAATAACTTTGTATCTACATGCCAACTAACTCTCATATTAGTAGACTGTTACACTGTAAAAAATTATTGTGATTTTAACAGTAAAAGACTATAAAAATGCTACAGTAAAAAGTTCCCATACTATATACGGTGAATACATGTAATTACATTTAATGTAATTTCACAGTAAAATACTGTTAAAAATACGGTTTTTGGAAGTGAAAAAGAAAAAGTCATTGTATAATTTACAGTGAAAAACCGCAAATTGACACTCCCAGAATTCCCTGCATGACACTTCATAGTTTTTTTTTTGTTGTTGAAATAACATGTTTCTTCTTAGTTTTTTATTATCAGTTGTGTACATTAGGGTTTAATCTTACATCTAATGTTATTAAATTAATGTTTATTGCATTATTTCAGTATCGTGTGTGTCACCATGATGGGGTTTAGTGTTTGTGTGAATGCGACTGTGTGCACCTTCTATATATAAGTATTGCCCTCCTCAGCTCTTAGAAAAGCTGTTTGTGATGAGCTTTGGTTCATCATGTGATTTTCTCATCACCACCAGTTTTTGGTGGTTATCAGTTCATTACAATGGTTCAAAACAGATATTAACACTTCAATATGTTGGTTTATTAACATTACATTAGTTAATGAAATACGGTATTTTATTGTGAATTTAAGTTAAGTCTGTAAAACCTAAAATGTTGCTGCCATATTTTTTACGGTGAAGTTCTGGTAACCACAGCTGCCGGTATTTTACCGTAAATGTCACTGATTTTTTTTACAGTGTAGGTTAGGGTTAGCATAATAAGTTGACATGTATACTTGCAAAGTCAGTAGAATGTCGGTTGGTGGACCATCAAAACACAGTGTTACCAAATGTAATAATATAAATGAGAAAATGTGAGAGTATTTGCATGAGCAAAACTCGCTGACACAATTCTTGCCTTACAAAAGACCAGGAACTAAATTCTGTCCTGACGGTAACTGACCGTATAGTGATCATGTATCCAGGTGTAGTGCCCAGCGAGTTGATGAAGGAGCTGAGGACAGATACCGCCATGTAGGAGGTGAAACTCCGAGTACATCCTGGCCCACGAGGACACTGGCCTAGAGACACAGATCTGCTGCCCTCTACTGGTGAGGGGGTTAAGACACAGCTGCAGTTGTGAAAAACCTGTGATCATCATATGCAAATGAGATGAAAATAAATATTATTATTGCAAATTATAGTATGCAAAGGATACTTACAATACTCCTTGTGTGCCTAGGGTTTAGAAAAGTGCAGCTTTAGATAGATCTAATTATACCGTGTTTTTGCCTTGTCCAGTGGAGGAGGTGCATCCAGCCAAACAGGACGACACGTATGTAATGCCACTGTCAGAGCACACAGGATCCCATTCAGATGTAGAGCAGGAACAGTCCTGGTTACACTGAGACATGAGTGAGTGCTCATCATGTGATATTTCAGGGGTCCTGAGGAGGAATTCTGAGATTGGTGATTGTTTCCAGTTGGAAACACAGTTTTCTGGCTGAGAGCCACCGTTCATTTATAGCAGTGGTTCTCAATAGTTTTTTTTTTTTAAATCACCCTTTAAAACTAGAAACAACAACAAAAAAAAAACATGCTTTTTGTTCTGCTTTATACTATCTGTATTCGAAAATACGAAAATATTTGTAAAACTTTTATAATAAATCTAAAAATAAATGATTAAATAATAACATTGATTTGCATGGATATTATGAAATATATTATAAATGTATTTCATATTAATATATCATATGAAACGATACACTACAATTATTTATTATTTACCTTGATGTACTTTTTTTATTCATGTAACCCATAAGGTTATGCTTGAGAGGATGGTAATTGTAACAAAACTTCAAAAACCACATAAATTATCATAAATGTGATGCAAACAACTGTGATGTACAACAAATACTCTTGTGTGTAGAACAGAATCTGCTGCATTAATGATACAGACAAGGATTTCAGTGGAATGCAGAAAAAAAAAGAAACTGAAGAGTTTTAAAAGTGAGGAAATGAACAAGATTTCCCTTTATGATATATACTACATTTCGTGAACTGTTGACTTACAGAGGTATACAAATACTCTACCCATTGTAGGACACAGTAAGCCCTGCCACAGGCACATTGTCACACAGAAGGTAGGCTGTGAGGGAGGTGATGAAGGAGAGCTGAGCCCCTGCCACGACACTCAACTTGTATATTTTCATTAACAAACCACCCAGGAATATTCCCACAGCAACCACAGGCAGGATCAGGACACCTACGGGACATGGTATGTCTTTACTTTCAATTCATTTCAAGCCTGACATGCATCTCTGTGTGTTACGCTGTATGGCTGGGTTTCTTGTTTTCGGGGTGACAGATAAATTTGCACCAAAATACTTTAGTTGAATTTTACACCATGGCCAATGTGATGGCCAATCACATAAAAAAACAAAAAAATATGGTCAATAAGTCGATAAGCCCTTTTTCACAAGGGAAAAACTGGAATAACACTGAAAAAAAAAAGGCAAAATAAAATAAAATAAAGTTGACACAAAATACTGGCATTTTGTAATTTTGGTATACATGCTTATTTTTTTAATTTATAAATATTACTTTTACACAAATCCTATATATGAAGATTTTAAAATTGTAGAGTTTGTTCATAAGCACAACTGAAGACACTGAATGAAGACCAGACATTAAATAAAACAATCAACTGCCTCTATCTTTACTAGAAAGGGTTTACTTGGAAGGGTTCTTACCGGTAAGGAAGTTTGCTCTTGATGCAGACTGGCCAAACTGTTGCTCCATGTATTTGGCTTTGAAGGTGAGCAAGCCGATGAAAGAGTTGAACTTCAAAACAATCCCACACAGCAACAGGAAGTATGCAGGAGTGCACAGGAGTCTTTTTAGGGAAGGCAGGAATCCTTAACATTTACATAACAGAATACAGAGAATGAAGTGAGCTTTTTCATAAAGATTTGCATAGACGTTAGCATAACTTCATGTAAAACATGTAATCATCTTTAAGACTTATAAGCTACATGTCTTACAAATTGGAGTGACTCCTGGTTAAATACTGCCATTTCTAATATGAATTTGTTAGTTTTAAAGAGAAAAAGGAATGGGAATGGGAAAAAAAAAGTTCAAACAATTATGGATTTGTTAAAAAGGTGGAAGGAAGTTGCCTTTTGAAATGTTGGCCAGTTTCACTGAGTGTGTGTTTGGGAGGACAGATTGCTCCTTGTTGCCCTGATCCACATTAAAGTTTTCATTCCATTCCTCTCCTTGTATGGGTAAAGATCTGGGCAGGAACCAAAAAGGAACACCAGCAAGTACTAAGATGGCAGATGACACAAAGAATCCCAGCCACCAAGCGCCCACCCAGCGTGCATCCTGTGTAGTGATGGTCACACTATCTGCAGGGGAAAGAGAAAAAATACTTAAATTATACAACATTTAGAAAACATGATAGGTCATTCTTAGCAAATACCAAGTATTTATAGTAATGTATTGCTGCTAACCGTAAGATTATGACTAAAGTATGATAGTACTTTCAGCCCAGTGAAAGTACATTTGGAATTCAGATACTTACAATTTTGGTAAATTGACAAATTTTGGTAGTATCATTCACTTTTGGTGTGTCTTATAATAATAACACATATTAAATGATCATGTTTTTTTTTTCTCTCCATACAAATGTTGAACATTTGAGCCAATAAAAATAAATAAAGACAGTAAAAGAAACTTTGATAATTTGGTTTGATTATAATTTCAGTAAAATATAAATTTAAACAATTGTCTGATTCTTTATTACAAACCAAAATGTAGCAGCCCTGAATGAAGTTGTGCAACAAAACAATTTGGCTAATGATCACATTAAAAACAGACATTAAAACATACAATTAAGTCATAATGATGCAAATAGCACGGTCCCACTTTATATTAAATGTCTTTAACTACTATGGTATTATAAAATTAAGCATTTGGTACAATATTATACACAAATATGATGTTGGGCAAAACTCTTGCCAAGTTTGCATATGGGCAGGTTTAGGGGTAGATTTGTCAAAAATGTCATTGCATATGTAATTACAAGTAGTACATGTAATTATAATTTAAGTACATTGTAACAACATGCACACAGTGTTATATATTTTAAATGTAAGAACATGGTAGTCGAATGACCCCATTATTAAACAGTAAAGTGAGCTCCATAATAGATAAATAAATAAATGTTTTGTTGTATTTTGGTTAGTTCAGATGGCCAGTTGTCATTTAATTAATTTATTTGTTTGTTTGTGTGTTTGCTTGCTTGCTTGTTTGTTTGTTTAAAAAGGATGGTGCCACTGTGTAAACATTCAGACCCCAGAAGCACATTAAGACTAAATAAAAAATAAATAAATAATAATAATAACAAAAACAAGATTTCAAATACAAACTAAACTTCATACTAATACACACAGTACTGGTGAAACTGATTAAACTGGATGCTTACCAACACTGACAAATCCAATATCCACATACAGTTTGGCACACATGGAGCCTAGTAGGAATCCAAACATGGGACCCAGCAGCATAATGGTCTGAAGACACGCTAAACATCACAAGAGAGATATTCATTAAACATTATAATATGGAAATTGAAATTTATTGCTCTGAGGTTGCACTTCTCAAGCTTGTGGAAAGAGAAGTACACTTTAGCATGTATGTATTTATTTATTTACTTGCTTGAACTTATGAAAACAATAAGCTTTAACAGAGTATACATAAGTGAGAAATGAATGTAATGTTTTCATACACTTATTACTCATTACATGCTAATTAAAATTAATTACTTTATAGTTTATATTAAATGCAGTTAGCTGAACTTCATATGTAATTTCATAATAGTAAACTAAACGATACTTTCATGCCAATTCTACTGAAACTTGCATGTCATATATTTAAATGTATATCAGTAATGACATATTTGTAATTATAAAGTTGCATTTAAATTAAATATTAACTTAATATTTATTTTAATATCAGCTTAATATTAACTTTCAGTGTAACATTGAATAAGACACTAGAGCTAAAGTCATAATCACGTAATTTACATGTGCTTTCGTAAGTCAACAAGACTTCTTCAAAGCATGTCAAAAGATTATAAAAACACAATGATTTAAAGGGGACAGCGGGTGCAAAATGTGCAAATACAATTTGCATATAAATGCGTCTTAGCAGTGTGTGGACACAACCACCCTAAAATGATAAAAATCCATTGACTCCTTTTTTTTATCCCCAAAAAACCTAAACAGTCTGAATTATCAAGCCATTTTGATTTTCTAAGCAGTATGACGTCATACTGCTGAGGCCCCATCCACGACCGGTGACAGAGTGTCCCGTATAGGGTATATGTCGAACGTCACCTGACCAGTCTGTCACAGTTGCCTACTGTGAGGAGCGAAGGAGCGAGGAGACGTGGGAGAATTCACGAAAAGGCGAGGCGCAGCCGGAGGAGTGGATTACCGAGGCGACGGATGGTCGACGACAGACCAAGGTGGAGTCGGAGTGTTGTGTATTGCATTTCAGGCATTGTACATTTTGTCCTTACGACACCCCGTACTGGTGCTCTGTTGTATGGCACATGCGCAGTATGCGCTGATGATGTCACCTGTATACCAGTGAACAGATAGTAAAGGTGTGTTGTAAAAGGATCATGTCAGTGTCGTCATTTAATGCAGTACACGTTCATCTAATGAAGATGTAACAAAACTGGCGACGAGGATAAACGCTCTCTTATCTTCCTGCTACATACTGCTAGATGTAGTGTTATTCGGCTGACAACGGCTGCACGCGATTGCACGCGTTCGTCGGAAGCTAACAGGCAAAACGCATGCGGAGCCAATCTCGCTGGGAGAATAGCGCAAACAGAGAAAAGAGAAGACGGTTGCACATCACGAAGACAACAATCCAGAGCGGGAGGAAAGAGTCGGCTACAAAAGAGTGAGTGGAAAAATACACTGACAAACAGACCAAAATGGCGGGTACAACGTTCCTCAGTGTAATGGGCAGCAATACGTATAATTTACTGCGCAGCCTGGTCCAGCCCAATAAGCCTGGTGATTGCTTATTTAAGGACATTGTAGCATTGCTCCAAGAACATTATGCACCAAAACCCCTCATCATTGCTGAAAGATTTCACTTTCATAAACGAAATCAGTTAGAGGGAGAATCGATTGCACAATTTGTTGCCGTATTAAAGCGATTGTCGGAACACTGCGAATTTGGCACAGCGCTGAACGACACAATACGAGACAGATTTGTCTGTGGACTGCGTAGTGAGACAATTCAAAAACGACTCCTGTGCGAAAGTAATCTTACCGATTGTCGGAACACTGCGAATTTGGCACAGCGCTGAACGACACAATACGAGACAGATTTGTCTGTGGACTGCATAGTGAGACAATTCAAAAACGACTCCTGTGCGAAAGTAATCTTACATTGGAGCGAGCAATATAAATCAGTGTATCCATGGAAATGGCTGCGAAAGATGCGCAAGAGTTAAGCATATCCAGTCAAGTTCACAAAGTGTACAGTGAGAAAATAAAACAGGATGGCAAAAGAGCATGTCACCGCTGTGGAAAGAGTGGTCATCTGGCACAGG